TCCTTGTTGAACTCATGCCAGCGGGCTAGCAGAGCATCAACAAGGTTCTGCTCAATCAAGCCTTGAACGATGCGATAAGAAAGCAGGATATTGATACTCGTATTGGAAATGTACAATCGACCAGAACGTCTAATGTAGTGTAATCCAACCTAATGGCTACCCCGGTCACTCGTAAGTCTAACTCTATGTCTAAGAGGATAACAACTGTAAGAGATCACGGCTTAGTGCTTTTAACTTTTTAAGTAAAATGCATTCCTGAAAATACCTATATATATTCATTATCCACTGCCTTCAAAGAAGAAGTCGAACCCCACAATAGCTAGCGTAGTAGTAGAAGTAGAAGTTTTTTCCCCAGACAGTTGTTACCTGTCTCCTGTTACTGTGTAATGAGTATTATACTTGATTGTAAAGGTAATTAGCCTTCGGGCATGAGTTTGCGAATTAAGTTTCATTAAAAGAAGTTTAAAGGTTTGGAAAGAAAGTGAACATGTATAATAAATGGAAAACACGTGGAGAAAAATCGTTACTGAAAGAGGTAATTCTTCCGCCCTTTTAACTATCCTTCCTAGTCCATTCTTGGGCGTTAGTATTCATATGATCATGCATAAGCCATCGGCAAACCCTAATGGGGAACATCTTAAGTTTACAACTCCGTGGGTCGTTTTACATAATTGCTTATTATTGGCAGGTCGACTGGATAAGACGACTCTCCATTATACTGAGGATGTTCACTGCCGACCGTCCTGGGTTAACGACTCTGCTGGTTATTCTGTCTAATTGCTCGGCAACGAAGAGGGTGGACTCTATTATACAGCAAAATTGCCAACATTTTATACACAGCCAATGGCCATAAATGCTCACAACAGTAGCACTACGTTCTTGCTGAGTGTATGAGAGACACTCACCAAAATGACGGTAACTAAGGGACCAAGTGACTTACTGAGATACCTGCGTGACATTTGGGTGACCACATGTGGTCTCTGTGGAAAATCAATTTAGGAATATACTGTCACTCTAAATAAGGCAGTAAAAGCAAATAAGGGCGGATATTGTATGGGTGCGACACAGGCCTATTAAGTCGTTAAACTGCGCCTTGCTGCACCCGCCAAATTGTCTCTTCAACAATATCGCTATGTATGCTGTTGTAATGCACGTTGTAAAAGATGGTAGACTATGCATGGAACTACATTGATGATAACATAAACTTTATGATATAATGATATATTTCTTTCTAGATCGTTGGCATACGACTATCCGTCGCTGCCAATCGTGTGATTATCCAGCTCAATCTCATAAGATTATAAAAGGATAGATAATACCATTATCCACAGATATAAAAGTTATGTTACAAAATTACTTTTGAAAAACCTGTTCAACTTCCTCACGATTAATTCTATAGCGTAATGACTGTGGTACTGCAGTAACCAACTTTGTAAAGTTGAAGATAATAAATATTATATTACTTAGATTACAACAAGATTACTTTATAATCTGTGGATAATGATTGCACTAAACTTTTTAAATCAATCATTATCCGCAAATTATCAAGAGATTGAAACTGCTGTGGGTTTCAATAGAAACGAGTTTTTAAAGTTTTGTTTACAGTAAGGCCATGTTGATTTGATTATGATGGATGACATCCGCGCGCGCATGAATTTTCTTCCATTTCCAGAAAAAAGTTTACTGTAAGTCGGAGACAGAAGCTGCAAAATGAGCAAATATATGCCGTAAATTAAAAGAAAAAAATATTGGAAAACGGTACTTATGCCTCAGAATGCCAAAATCCATTCCAAAGGACAAGATCCAAGAGTATATTATTCACCATGCCGAACAAATATTACTCTGTGTGTTTAGTCATTTGTTCAAGCTTTATGACCACCTAGATTTCATAATATAATGAAGGCAACTTTTTTGCCAAAATGTTTTTATTCACACGCTTGTTTCAATTTTGGGGTTCTCAGAGGACGTTATCCATATAATCAAATTAACATGGCCTACAATGTCTAAATCAACCTCAATTGTTGGGTCTCCATTCTATTACCTGCTCTAAGCTACATTCCTTAAACTCATTTTTCTCAAAATCACGGCTCTTGTCCATCACATATGGTTCCAATGTCTCTTGACATTTGAAAAACGATTCATAGTTTCTACCAACGAGGCATTTCGCATGCATGATATTCAGGGAAATCCGTGGTGGGTGTGTAGAATGACTACCTCCTACTTTATCAAAATCCCAATGCATTACTTCATGATAACCTAGCTGGTGCGAAACGTTATTATTATACACAGCCTATTCGCTTGTGATGACAACCTAAGCATGGTTTATCCATTACTGTGGAACTGGTTACTTGGGAGATGACGCACGGATTGGATTATACTAAAGCACATTAATCGGGAAGTCTCACCTCGGATTACATTATCTAAAGCTTCATATAAATACCTCATCATGTAACCGAATTCCATACACATTTCAGGATACACCCGTTAATGCAGAATCGGCACAGCGAATGTTCGTACATGGGAAGTCTTCATTACGAAGGGTAAGTTGGTGAGGTGTGAATATATTTGCGGGGTATTTGGACCGCAGTATGACCTTTTGATTGCTATCCAAGTTAATTGGCTTATGGTTGATATGTTTTAAATCATCGGGTTGTCAGAAAGCAGCAGAGCATATGAAAATAATCAGTGCCTTGCATGAAATATGATAACTGAATATGTAGCATACAGACATTTAGCCAGGCATAAGTTGTGCTTTATGCACATACTAGTAATATAGATCTGCTCACTTATACAATGTAGCTATAGCCCTTCATATGAAGTTATATAGACATCTATAACGATTCTAGAACGATTATGCGTCCATTAATAATTTTGTATAACCATTATCATTTATATTTCAATAATTACCCCAATAAAAAGTTACTGTGATGCTAATCATCTGCAAATTTAGATAGTATCATATTTTGACAATAGCTTATACGTAACTATGTGGTCTAAAGCCAAATTAGATATCAATTGTGTGAAATAGGACACTCTAAATTCAACGATATTGATCATATATGCCTAACCTAATATATCAGTTTACAATGAAGTGCTTCTTTGTAAAGCTTTTAGTCTACTTACAGTGTAAAGCGTTCATGCTACTTAGCAAAAGTCTATAACAATTTGTCAAGCTTAATTTTAACAAACTAATTTGTGCGCAGGAACACTTTCTAGGAATGATAAAGATTTAGACTTGGAGAGAAGGGGGCAATGTGGGAATTAAAGTGGTCAGGGCATCACCGTTAGACCAGTTTCAGTACCACTGTGATATCTGGTACGTTTTGTTTCATTATTGTTGGACTAAAAGAGCTTAACAATGATCAATTTTACTATTATGCTAAAATGACCATTGCCTACGGCTAGAATTCTACATAGAATATTATGAAAAATACAGAAAATTATACAAAGTGATAAAAATAAATGTTTGTTGTTACTTTGCACCATCTTCACATTTGTAAATGGTGTTCTACGTACGATGTCACCAACAATTATTTGAAGTTTCCTTATCCTCATATTACTTTTATACTAGTATAAGGCCACAGCAAGTAGTTTTTATGGATGACATCAGCGCGCGCATTAATTTTCGCCTGATCTTCAGAAAAAAAAAGAAATTTTGTTGCCTTCTGACAGTGGTCAACATGCTGAAAATGAGCAAAGATGTCTGTTGCCATGTCAGAAGGTGGATGACAGATAGCTACGAAGAGAGGAGACAAGAAAAGGCTCTGATTTAATGTTTTGTTTCTTACTTTGATGCAGTGATATGTGATGCTGGCTGTGTATATGTGATGTTCTCACTGAATCAAAACCATTTATACAGTGATTGAGTCAAAATTCTAAAATGTAGGAATCTTGTTTCTTTCAGCCCGACTTGTTTTGTTTCGCCTGCTCGCATTAGATTTGGAGTCTGCGGATCCGGAGGATGTCATCCATAAAATTTACATGCTGTGGCCTAATTCTGCCTACCTGCTTTTCGTGTCTCCCGAGTTATGACTGTCTTTTTTGGTTACGGTTGATGATTCATGGAATATTGAATCATCGATTTTAGCATGTACATGTACTTTGCAAAATTATCTCTCTGGGATAATCATCGTCTATATGTTTAGAATGTTGCGTTTTAGTGTTATTTCCTGGAGGGAATAAGTGTCTTTTATTACCTACGCAGTCGTATGATCAAGGACCTGTTGAATAGGCAATCTGGCAACAGATAAGCTTTTATCTCCCGTGCCTTTAATCTTGTATGTTACAGCTTATTACATTGTCGTTAGAAGTACGGCATGTCAAACAATTTTGTAATTCAAAAGGCATGCCCAAGGCAAATGCGTTTTGAAGGACTTAGCTACAGCATATCGTAATTCTATTCAAACTTTATCATCATTCACATTACAGCAATACAAAAGATTATAGTACATACATAATCATACAAAACGATACATAAGGAAAAATATGTATTTCGTAACGTGAGAGGAGTTACATACTAGTAGATAAACATCATTTTAAAAAATTGCCATTGTTCGTTGTGTTTATCTATTTCTATAATCTGATATAGTCTGTTTCTTAAAAGTCTAGAGTTTGGTTTAAGGTTTCCAGTTACAGCATACCATATGACTCTGTCGAGTAAACATGTACACATAGGTTATTATGTTGCAAAATGCAAAATTAAATCTTTAAACGATAAAGCATAAAGAATGCTCAAGTGTACTTGGCATAGGACAAATTGCAGTAACTTCACTATCAATCACAATTGAGACGTATTGGGAAATGAACAGAGGAACGTGGGAAATCAGTAAGTAAAGAATAATGGAAAAGAATAGGTCAAGCAATTCTACACCGTTTGCCTGGCTATTCTTTTTTATTCCAACAGCCCTGTCTACCCGGTAGCTGTCATTTCATCTCAAATTTGTTCTCAGTTGTCGTGTTGTGTGGAAGGGGTAGAGCTCAAGATTAAAGCCGTCACCTACCTGATATTTCAGGGCTGTAGATATTGAGATAGAGACAGTCCTCATCCATAGTCGCGGTGTACGGCTGCAATATGTTCCTCTGCGCGAAAGGAAAGGTTAACGTGTCGTTCGTTCCATCGACAATCTGAGGACAAGACGGTCCCGGTCTGTCAAAGTCTCTCATCTTCACCCAGGGCTCGGGCGTCTGAGGCGGCCTGAAGCGGAGATTCTCAACCGGCGGTTTGGCATACGGGATCCCCAGGTAACGAGTTACGGACTTCATCCTGTAGTTTGGCGCGGGGAATCGCCTGCCCCTGACAGGCCCATACTTCGTGCTTACCACATGCCACGTATAGGATTCTGCTGATGCAGCCACCATAAAAGCAGTTAGCGTGAACCAGAGCAGTCCCATGGTGACACGTCTACCCATTTCTCCGGAAAGATGCAGACAGCAATCTTCCTTTACCGCCGACCTAAGCAAAAATACACACAACAGGGTCAGATGACACATTAGAATAACCCACCGCTTTCTTGCACAAGCCAATGATATCCAGGTATTCCGCGACCGTTATTAGGATTCACGTTTTAAAAATAGAATGCAGCGTTGCCCTTGGGTGCCCTTTCTCAGTGGCATTGTCACTTTACATAAAGGTGTCGTTATTTATACCACATCTTGCTCAAAATTACCAACAACATTACTGACAAAGAGAATCCTACCTCGCCTATTTATGATTTTCCGATAAAATTGATTTAACGGAGCTTGTTGCGTCAACATTTATTGTAATGAAATTCCCACTGAGGCAATCGGGTGCTTGTGGAGGGACTCCCAGGAAATTGAATGGGGTTGTTCGGTCGTTTCGCGTCACCCATGGGAAGGTCTAGTATTGAATCGCCGTTGTAAGATACATAAAAGAATGTTCTTTTGGAACAATACAGCAGCGATATTTATTATAATTCAAACCGTTAGTGTCGGCAGGCAGTCTCGCGTCTGATTAAACCGATATAAATGGCGGCGTCAAGCTGAGACAATTTTATCAGATCAATCTGTATGCACGGAGATGTCATTTACCGTGGACCCAGTTAGATGAAGGAGAAAAACGTAAAACAACCCGTTATCCGGTGCAGTAGTGCGTGCCTTGTGAATTACAAACTCCAACTTCTTTGCCCCACCTCACTAACCCTGTAGCTATCACAGTCAACTCTCTCCATTGGATGTCAACTTCTGGCAAAATGCTAAGTAAGCAAACACCTTCTTGGACCATTTTACACTCCATGAAGATACATGAGTAAATAAGTAATTTGTGTACGTTTTTGCTAACAAATTGCAGCGAGATAATTCAGTTTGAAATGTTGATACTAACTCTTGATGGCACAGACACATGGGAGAGATACCGTATACCGTAGAGACCTTTCTCCCTACATACATAGACTCACGATGAATTACCCTGGCCCCAGTCAGAAAGGAAGAAAAAAAGTAAAACAAACCGATATCTGGTGCAGGAGTGCGTGGCTTGTGTAGTACTGCAAACTCCAACTTCTTTGCCCCACCTCACTAACCCTGTACCTACCACATTTAACTTTCTCCATTGGATGTCAACTTTGCTCATTCTGGCAAATGATAAGTAAGCAAACACCATTTATGAACCATTTTACACTCCATGAAGATACATGAGTAAATAACTAATTTGTGTACGTTTTTGCTAACAAATTGCAGCTAGATAATCCAGTTTGAAATGTTGATACTAACTCAAGATGGCACAGACACATGGGAGACATACCGTTTACCGTAGGGACCTTTCTCCCTACATACATAGACTCACGATGAATTACCCTGGCCCCAGTCAGAGAGGAAGAAAAAAAGTAAAACAAACCGTTATCTGGTGCAGTAGTGCGTGCCTTGTGTAGTACTGCAAACTCCAACGTCTTTGCCCCACCTCACTAACCCTGTACCTACCACATTTAACTCTCTCCACTGGATGTCAACTTTGCTCATTTTGGCAAATGATAAGTAAGCAAACAACATTTTGGACCATTTTACACTCCATGAAGAAAAATGAGTAATTTGTGTACGTATTGCAGTAACAAATTGTAGCTAGATAATTCAGTTTGAAATGTTGATACTAACTCAAGATGGCACAGACACATGGGAGAGATACCGTGCGTATACCGTAGGGACCTTTCTCTCTACATACATAGACTCACGATCAATTACCCTGGCCCCAGTCAGAGAGGAAGAAAAAAACCTAAAAGAAACCGATATATGGTGCAGGAGTGCGTGCCTTGTGTGTGGCAAAGTCAAACTTCTTTGCCTCACCTCACTAACCCTGTACCTACCACATTTAACTCTCTCCACTGGATGTCAACTTTGCTCATTCTGGCAAATGATAAGAAAGCAAACAAATTCTTGTACCATTTTACACTCCATGAAGAAAAATGAGTAATTTGTGTACGTATTGCAGTAACAAATTGCAGCTAGATAATCCAGTTTGAAATGTTGATACTAACTCAAGACGGCACAGACACATGGGAGACGTACCGTGGGGACCTTTCTCCCTACATAGGCCACAGCAAGTAAATTTTATGGATGACATCCTCCGCAGACTCCAAATCTAATGCGCGCGGCCGAATAAAGAAAAACAAGGCAGACCGAAAAACAAGGTTCCTATATTCTTAAATGTTGGCTCAATAATTGTACAAATGGTTTTGATACAGTGGGAACATCACATATACACAGTCAGCATCACATATCACTACATCAAAGTAAGAAACAAAACATTAAATCAGCAGAGCCTTTTCTTGTCTCCTCTCTTCATAGTTATCTGCCCTCCACCTTCCGGCATGGCAACAGACACATTTGCCTATTTTCGGCATGTTGACAACTGTCAGAGGGCAACAAAATTTCTCTTTTTTTTCAAAATCAGTTCAACAAAATTAATGCGCGCGCCGATGTCATCCATAAATATTACTTGCTGTGGCAATACATAGACTCACGATGAATTACCGGGTCTGTACGGCGACATATTCTACATCATCAACACTCCATCGATCAAGTGCAGCACAACTATTGTAATCCCTCTGTCACCCTTACAATGTGGAGACCACGATCGATCATACCGTAACGGTCTGAAGATGATACACTAAGATACATTAAGAACAGTAAACTTCATTTACATTGCAAAACGTGATCTCAACACAGTGCAGCTTTGAATAATATTTTTAGCTAGAATTTATAAACGGTTTGCACCATCTATGCATTGTTAAGTTATGTGTAGTCTTGTAAAAAAAAACGAGATAGCGCGGTGCCACAGTCCAAAAATTGATTGCCGAAGCAATATACGTTAGCACTTTGATTTATTACTTGCTGACCTACATAGGGTTTTCGACTGCTATTAAAATTGATATGGATTAAACACACGAGCTAATTTTAGCCAACACTGTCCTAGCGCAAGGACGACCTTTTGTAGTATAACCTACTAGGAGGAAAAACATTTTAAAGAGAAAGACGGTTTAGTAGAGAACCCAATTCAATATCTCGTGTGATAAGACTAAAGACGACTTATATACTAATACTTTATTTTCTTTGGCCTTAATTATGTACAGGGCATTTGAGAATTAGGCAAACCAGCTACACCTATATGCGTTATTTGCAGAATTACATTGTACAGTAGACAAACTATGTAATTGTGTTTCCAAATGTTTACAAAAAGAGAGAAGATAGGGCAACTAACAGTAGATGATAGGTAGTATATAGTATTGTTGTAATGTATAGATTCCTAGAACTTTGCATTAGAATATAGCTTTCCAGTATGAAATACTCATGTTTTGCATACTGCATATCCTCTGTTGTGCATTTAGCCCATCTGGGCAAGAACATGCAATAAAGTTTTATATCCTATCATTGTAAACTTCCTGAAAAAATTATATCATAGTAAACACAATACTAGTACTTTGATTCCTGTATCGTGAGTATCGTGGCCGCATGCAGCCTTTTTTGTGTGCCATCGACAATTAACACATTTCCTGGCGGCATATGTCACGGCTGATGGAGTTTATCCCCTAACACATCTCATTTACCTTCTCTAAAGGCTGATGGCAGGGGTGACCTTATTACACCCGTGCCTGTAGAACGGACATCAGCGAGATGCCAGGGACAGCAACATGTGCAGGAGTAATGGACGTACCTTTTGTTGTCACGCTGGCAGTGATGGAACGTCCAAACGAAAGATCACAGGCGCCATCACTGTCCGCTTGACCGGAGGAACATTACGCATTTGATGGCTGTCCGTATACATCACAATCTTGATGACAAACGGTGTCCCATAAGCATCGGCGCCTCATCTTGTGAAGAAAGTGCCACCAGATACAGCTCAATGGTTAATTCCGGGCTAAACGTCTCCGCCGTCCGTCTATGTGGCTCCTTGGCAGCAATGTGAGAGACACCGGACCGCGGAGGATGGTACCACGGCAAATTGCCATCGATTCGTTTACCAAAAGTCTCAAATCAAGGGGCAGAGTGCGAGGCAATGTCGCTCAGGCACTTATCCCGGTTAGAGAGATACGATTAACCACAATCCTCGATAAGCTGCATATAGATGATTCAATCAAGAGGAATTATCGGATATTAGATCAAGCCTTGCTCGTTGATGATTAGGATCTGGGCTAATTGGTCATCCTTTTAGCCGTTGCATAATCCGACCGCCAATGAGTAAGTATGTTTACCGTACAGAGGCTATTGTCTCGTCTACGGTTGATACATCCCTTCCCAAGCTGATGGACATGAGAAGCGACATTCAGCAACATCATACACCCACTGCTGCATAGATATACGGCTAAGCATGCGATTTCCTCCGCTCTTCCCATTTGTATAACTACAGGCTACTGCTGTTGCCAAACTACCTACCATGACTATAGCAGTCCTCCAGCACAAAGAACGCTGGCTTCTGTCTGCCCAAGGCACGTCTGCCAGTCGACATCCCCGTTAATGGTTATAAAAGGGATTTCATAACTGTGCCCATATAGCGTGACCCGTTCTTCCATCAGACAGAGAAATGGCTTTGTGTTGGCGACTCCCCGAAGACAGTCCACAATTTTCTCAGCCAGCGAGTCATCTCCACCAATGGGGACCTATTACCAGACAGACAAAAATCAATCCGGTTCTCCATGCATTGGATCAAAGTTGCTCTCTCCGCGTATACAGCATAAGATGTATGTCAACAGCCTGACCCCAGAGGTTTTCCTCTCATCGCTAAGGTATCCCTTATAGTTACACCGTTACAATGTTAAAGTCCACAGGCCACACGGTTGATCAAATAAAGCAGCAGACATATCTTGTTACGATGGTTGCCTCGATCGTTATCATTTAAGAGCTCTGTCGTATATTTTCCAATCGTTTTGATAAAATTAATGTTAAGCGTAATCTATTTCTCTGACCCATAAATAAGGTTATTCGAAACATGGCCTTGTATCAACCACAGGGCAGAAGCAGATATCGATCAGTTTCAGAATCTTCAATTAGCGATAACCACGATGCGTCCATATTCCATTACAACATCATGGCCAATTAATCCTAACATGCAGGCATCTCCAGAAAACATTAAATATAGATGCGGTTATGAAGAAAACCCTGCCTCCAAAACGACCCATAAATCACATTAAAACTCCTACGTGTAGGACATAAAGGACTTATATTAGAGCTTGCAATTCCAAATGTGTACTTTAGAAAGATCCTAGCTGATACGGTTGCCCTACATTTTACGAGGCACACAAACTGATAATTAGCATTTCAATGCTGCAACTCTTACATTTCCAGGAGGACACGAACTTGCGATGAAAATGGAGATTTGTTTTGACGTTTGGGAAATACCCTGTTAAGCCTACGTTACTCTCAAAAGTACCGGCCCGGGTAAACATATTAACCCACCGCTAACACAAGCAACACTGCATATCATCCGCGAACATTCAATAGCTTTAAGGCCACGCCAATTTAATTTGTTGTGTCTCGGATCTGCCTTGTCCATTTTTTTCTGATTTGCAAAAAAAATTTTAAAAAATGGGGGGGGGGTCTAAATCAACTGCAAAATGCTCAATGAAAGACATATTTTGGCCCCAACGGTTGGTTCCTTCCTAGGTGTTCAAGTTTTTCAATGTAACAATGCAATTTTGTATCATTAAAACTTCAAAATCTATTGTTTTAATTAAACCAGCCTGGTATGTTCACTTCATGCTCATATTGTAATATTTCCGGCTATCATGGGGTGCCTTGGCCTGTTTTTTTCGCCCTGTCGCTTCATTTTTTTCCTGAAAAAATCCAAGAAACAACAAATTAAATTGGTGTGGCATAAAGTAGATATTCTTTTGGCTCATACAATTACCAGTAAAGAACATTTTAGGTTAAACGTGAGGGGTTGCCCTGTTGCACACCAGGTTGGACCTAAAATTAGTTAGAATATGCCCCAAATCATTTTAGAACGAAAACTTAGTATAAAATATGATTTATTGTAGTGCTAATGTTAATGGAATGAAACATTTTTGGTTATACTTTGCGCGGATTGTACATCAAGTTGGCCCCAACGCCGTTGTTATTGTATACTAACATATCCTTATAAGCACTTAGAGGAAGGAAGGAAGTGTAAAATATGCGACCTACTGTTTTTATTGTTCACACATTAAGGAGAATAGTACAACACAAAGTGGTAACGCACTCATGTACCTAAAACTTATTTTAATGCTACCACTTACACATAATGAGCGGATAAATGAACAAAAACGAATTCAATATAAAGAAAATGCAGATGATATATATAATACGTATGTTGAATGTGGGGTGCCTCAAGGCACCATTTTCGGACCGCTTTTGTTTATAATGTACATATGTAATAAAAAACAAAGATGTTCGAAGCACATGACCAATTTCCCACCCAATGAGGAACGCAGTGAAAAGGTAGGACACAATGCAATATATATATATATAGGAAAAATGAGTTTTAGAGGCGTTTTGTTGCGGTAATGAATTGTTGAGTAAACGATAAAATGTTTGAATTTGCAACTAGTGTTGCTAAAGCCACACCGACTTATTTTTATGGATGACATCCACGCACGCATTGATTTTCGCCTTTTCTCAAAAACAAAAGATCACGTCTGGCCTGGCTCTAGGCCTGGGTAGTTACCGACAATACAGAGCCGGTAGTAACCCGGGAGGATGGCACCGATGGCACCAAAGCTCCACGACTCAAGAGCTCAGTACATACGTTGAGTGCCGACTTATAAATACCACAAAAAGCCAGCATGTGTCGGCTTGTTGTGTACGTCGCTATGTACTGCTGGAAATGCACAATACCAGCTTTGTACTCCTGTGTTTTAGTAGCATTTTTATTTTTGGCCAGAATTTTTTTTTATTCGCCCGCGCGCACTAATTTGGGGGGTCTTCAGAGGATGTCATCCATAAAATTAAGTCGGTGTAGCCTAATGTTAATAACATAGCTGGTAATCCACTCCGAAGCTGGTGGCTCTAAAAGCAGGGCAGCTGCGGTACAGATGAGTCAGACAATGGAAAACTAACAATATGACGTATGAAACGTCTGCAGGTAGCGCAGCAGGAGACGACGTAATGCCGTGAAGAATCACCTGTCTAAACAACCTTCCCACTGGGATGGGACAAGCACCCAATTAGGACACCCTATGCCGGTACACTGGTATATGGTCTCCGTCAGGGCAATGCTTTATCATCAAACCAAAAAAATTAGATATACATCATCTTATGAGATAAAAGGAAGCCCTATCCTCAAAATGGTCCTGTGAGAGAGTTTCATACATACATATTTAATTCATCCAGCAATAGAGTAATATTTATCAATTTACAAGAATATTGATTATCAGTAAACGTTGCTTGATCCGTTGTGCATATACGAGTTGAAGAAAATGTTAGCTTCTTGGCTGATTCTAAACGTACTTGACTCAACATGGTAAAAATAGCTGTGAGAGATTTTCATATCTATATATAATTCATCCAACAATAGAGTAATATTTATTAGTTCGAAAGAAAATATTGATTATCGGTAAACGTTGCTTGATCCGTTGTGCATATACGAGTTGAAGAAAATGTTAGCTTCTTGGCTGATGCAAAACGTACTTGACTCAACATGGTAAATAGATTCCTGTGAGAGATTTTCATATCTATATATAATCCATCCAACAATAGAGAAATATTTATCAGTTTGAAAGAAAATATTGATTCTCGGTAAATGTTGCTTGATTCGTCGTGCATATACCAGTTGAAGAAAATGTTGGCCTCTTGGCTGATGGCAAAATGTACTTGACTCAACATGGTAAATAGATTCCTGTGAGAGATTTTCATATCTATAGATAATCCATCCAACAATAGAGTAATATTTATCAGTTTGAAAGAAAATATTGATTATCGGTAAACGTTGCTCGATCCGTTATGCATATACAAGTTGAAGAAAATGTTAGCCTCTTGGCTGATGCAAAACGTAAAAATACCTGTGAGAGATTTTCATATCTATATTAATCCAACAATAGAGTAATATTTATCAGTTTGAAAGAAAATATTGATTATCGGTAAACGTTGCCTGATCCGTTGTGCATATACGAGTCGAAGAAAATGTTACATTTTTACCTGATGCAAAACGTACTAGACAGTGATTCTGAAGAATTGCCTTCGTCTTGGTCGACCTGTTTAGTTATTACGGAGTTAACATGTTACAATGCGTCGCTTTGTGATTTAAAGTTGGTCCATGGGATAACGGATTGCTTTCGTAGATAAGTAAATCAAGTTGCGTGCACTACAGCGCAAAGGTGAGTCCTGGAGTTCTAAGATACTGAGCAACTCACCGCAAGACGGAACCTTTGGCACTAACCACAGTCCCGAGGAAATTCGCGTGTCTGATTTAGCGTTACTTACAATTTCCTGTCTCCCCCTTCGCAATTTGGCGAGATGTCAAGTGCCGGTATGCCGGCAGGGAGAACCCTGTGTGGCTCTAACACGGGGTAATTGCCTGTTGATCATCACTTGGTGAACAGAACGGTCACGGTAAAAATCATCACCAACATCCGTCGTCTCTAGACGGTACGGTATGGGTGAAGGAAGGCAATAAAGAAACCTATACGTACGTGCCTGGCACCCACCACTGTATATATTGTTGAACCACGGCATACAAATGTATTCTATCTCAACAATATCACTGCTAAAATTATGAGAATATTACAGCATCGTTATGAATCGGCACTAGACCTTACCAGAATAGAATCAGCAGCTGCTGCACCAATCGCCACCCACATGTACCTACGAGAGGAGGCCGGCCAGACGTACCGGTGTACCAGCAGCGCCCCACCAGGCTTCCCGCATCCTTCCCACGTACAATTGCACAAAGAGA